ACTAGGTTCAGCCACCAAAAAAAAAAACTCCTCACTTCTCTCTCTGTGAGACCAATGACCACCTCCTGAGAACATCAAGACCACAAGGACTTCGGAATTCACCAGGAAGCCATCAATCTTGGCAATCGAATGATTCGCAATTTCAACTGTTTCGAGGTGTGGGGGCTGAATGGAGATTCAAGATGGGAAGCCGTGCAACAAGTTCACGTCAAAAAGAGGTAGTGAAGAGGCATGGTGTCGTGGAACAAGGTTCTTGGATGTTCTCTGCCCTATACAAACTACTGCTGCTTCGCAGTTCGCACCGGCACTGGACGGCTCGTACGGTTGCCGCCCGGGATGGGTCGGCCGGGCTGGTTTGTATCTGCCGGCAAGGCTTGTAACCTTTGAGCCATGTACAGCCTCTGGACTCGTGCAGGACATGAACCCCACTAGTGAGGCACGGTAGTGTGAACTTGTTGCTTACGGTCCCAGGAAAATTTCCTGCCAGCAGCCCTTGGCAAGGTCGGCCAGATTGCCCGGCTTGCCGAGATTCATCATACCTGCGCACTTGCCTGAGCCAGTCAGTGAACACCTGCACCAGTTATTCCGGACAAGCGCATGTGGGCAAGGTCATGTCCTCCTGTGTCGGTGTGGCTGCAAACACTCCGCTGCCTGCAAAGCAGCTGATGCCTCAAATGTATTCCACAACTGGACGCTCATCCTTGCACACATCTGCAGACGACGCCAGGTCCGCTGAGCTGGCTTTGAAGAGCCGAGCTCTAGGACCGCTACAGCGCTGCAGTAGCAGGAAGCAAGGATCAGAATAAGACGGGGACTCGATGTGACGGCAATCTGACCGAGCTAGCAGCTCGAACGTACAAGAGCAACTCTTCCCATCTCTTCCCCATCCACTCCAGGCAGTTCATGGCTGGTCCTCAAGCATGGGCCCGCATACCTCTCGGCTCAACTTAGCACACTGCTCCTCGTCTTGTCATCTGTGACGACGATGGGCACTGACAGATGCTGGGAAGTCATTGGAGGCGCAGAGAAGGGAGGAATTCTGGTCCGCGAGGGAGCCGAGCTGAAGGCAAAGGAGGTGCAACCGCGGCTTGGTGTAGGCGCGGGAAACGTAGCAAGTCTTTTTTTTACTGCGGCCTAGTGATACGTTTTTTTGTTGACGACGCGACTGCCGCGGCAGGTGCCGTGGTGGAGCAAGTTGGTGAGCTGCAGGGCGAGCGACTCTGTTTTAGGAAGATCTCGGGCGCTGGCCCAGAGACTGGTTGGGTCAGCATCCGTGTCAAAGACAAGCAGCTCCGGTGGCACTGAGTGGAGTTGTCTACGTCCTGTTCTGCGAAAGCCGGTGTCAAAGCAATCGGTTCATGCCTGCTCCCCAAGTCTAGCATAGGTGAAACTGAAGCGTTTGCAGGCAGCTGCTCAAAGCCTTGTTTGACCTCGAGCTCACGGAAGCTGCCGAAACTGGGAAGCAAGGAAGTCAGCGTCCTGGACCGCTTGAGCTTTCTGTTGCGGCACTGGCAGCGGAATCAAGCTCAGCGGATGGCCGCCGGGCAGTGATGAAACTGGATGCTTGTGTCATGGAAACAAGCTCTGCTGTCTCTTCTGAATTACTTTTGGCACGCGGGCTGCTGAACTGGCGCCTGGCCCGCTTTGAGGGAGCTCAGAGGGACTTGAGAGAGGCAGCTCAAACCTCCACCGCTGCGGCGCCTGCATTGCTGGCTTTCCTACTCTGCTCCTCAAGGTTTCCAGATGCCCTGGCTCTATGTGATTCCCTTGGCGAAAAGGATGTGCATTCCCTTGTGGAACAGTGGCGGAGCGAGGCAGAGAAACTTTCAGGCCTGTTTTTTCCCTGCCTCCGTGAGCCATGCTTCGAACCGAAAGAGATCTTCGAGGGCATACGCCAGACAGACATGTTGCTCCATGCACCTGATGGCACCTCCCTCGGCTTGCGCCTGCTTCTGCTGCATGACAAGGGTAAGCCCCGTGTGGACCGACCTCTGGTGCTCGTTTTCCACGGAGAAGATGAGAACATTGACACCTTCTGTCAAGAGAGCAACTTCGAACCCTGGCGGGCCGCGAAGGTCAATTTGATTATAGCCGATTTCCGTGGCTACGGTTTTTCGTCAGGCGTTGCCTCGCACTACCATTTGCGCTTCAATTCACCTCAGCACCAATTTTTGTTTTTAGCCCGTCTATCCGCTTGTCCAGCAGTCCAGCAGCGCTCAGGCGCACGGATGGCGATTTGATTTGTGACGCCCTCCCGGATCTCCTTGGTTCAGTGGCCTGGCCTTGGCCCGGTGGCTTGGTATCAGATTCGCACAAGCTGAAAACAGAATAGCTCTTGTTACTCTGCATGCTGCGAACTCCAAACCAGAAGTTCCAAGAAAAAGCAGTCAGCAGCCCGAGGTGGTCTGGCGCTCTATGGACACAGCCTGGGATCGCGAGTGGCATGCTACCTAGCTGCTGTGCGGAACAGTGCGTTCCCAAGCTTGGTGCTGGAGACAGGCACAAGCAGCGGGGAAAAACAATGAGACCTGAGAAGGGATATGACAACCCTGACATGAAGGCATTGCCAATTGCCTGCCTGTTTTCAGGCTGGTGCGGCAGCTATGCTCCAGGAGCCCAACCGCTTCCAGAACCACCACAGCATACAGCGCTGGCAACCATGGGCTGCAACGCGGTGGGCGATAGCAGATTTGGAAGCCGGGAGTTGCACATGGCGGCTGCGGCCATTACAAGGAAGGCCCGCAGGCTTTTGGCAGCGCCTTGTGCAGGCACCTTGACTGTAATTGACTGTATTTATTTTGAGGGCCACAGCACCTGTTGCGATGCTTGAGCCCAACAAAAATATTTTGGGAATTCTTCGGCAAACTTTGCCTGATGTTTGTGGTGCTTGACCTGACAAGCAGTGCTCAGGCATTGGCGCAAACATGACAGCCACAACTGTTTCAGCAAATGTTGCCCACTTCTGCTTCATGAAGGGCAACGAAGATCTCATTCAAGGGTTTGATGGCCGGGCGCTGATACTGCACGGTGACGTCGATCACGTGGTGGGAGGGAGAACATTGCTCAACATGTTGCTTTATCTAGCACTTCTGTTACTTTTCACTCCTCATCGTGAAATGGCAACTCAGGCAGTAGGTGCTTGACATCCGGGGATCCCTTGCTTGGGCTTTCTTGACTCCCTTGGTTCCTTGGAGCGCCCTCTCGTTGCTTTCGATGCAACCGGTAGGCCCTCAACCTCCTGCTCTCCTTGTCCAGGTGCCCTCTGCACATGCTCGCCGACTGCATGCTGCCCTGCAGTCGTCTTCATCGAAATGGCTGGTGCTTGCGAAAGGCAAGCGTCAAGATAGTCTGCGCGGCAGCGCGGAGTACACTGAAGCACTTTATTCCTTCTTCAATGAGGCAGATGGAAAAACCGGCCGCTGTGATTAAACATTTGCGTTAGGCTGCCTTAGGCTTATCGATAATTCACCCTGTGATCCTCCTCATGTCAACCAGCTTCGCTTTGAGCTCCTAGGTTACATTTGTTTGCTGTCTCACACCATATTACAAGTATGGGTAGCGTTGACAAGCATGGTGAGCATCCTGGGTAGGCAGGCGCACTGTGCAGAATGAACTCGCCTCTGATCTCTGTGAGCTTCTGCTCCACAACTCCATATTCTGGATCTATTAGGCCTAAACCCTGGCTGTTCGCAAAAGTGGCTTGCGCAGGAAGTGGAGACTTAGCGATACGGGCAGAAGCAAGTCTGACATGGCGAACAGCAGCATTAGCTGGAAGCCAAGGTAACATGTAAACACAGTCGTCAAGGCATAGTTTGCTCCCGTTCAGGTCGTTTTGCCAGCGCTTAGACGAGGTGTGGAGACGAACTTGCTCCAGCATACAACCGTTCCGCCTCGACTGTCTGCCTCAGGCTTGTCGCAGGTTCTTGTGCAGGCAGTCCAGGGCCCAGAAAATCAATGAGCCTAGTACCGCGCGCCTACGCCTTCAAAAGCAGCTTTCATTGTAATCAAGTTGTGACCTCAGGTTCAGCTTGCCCGTGCCTCGCGGAGCCGAGAACAAAAAGTGCTGTGACATTCGCAACTGTGCAGTGCAGATGCGAAGCAGTCACCCCAAGTTTTTTTGCAGTTTCTGAAGTTGGAGGTATTGCTGCAGATGGGCGTCACTCCGCTCACCTTTGACGGCTACGCAGTGAAGAGTGTCAAGCTGCCGCGTGCTTAGTGGCTCCAGTACGCTCCAGTACACTCCAGCACCACCTACGTCGTGGCATTGACTGCAGGTGGGGGCTCATTTGCAGGGTGCCTCGTTTGCGTCGGAGTTCTGTTACGTTCTGCCTGCATTTGAAGACACTGTCTAAAGGCATGTTTCCACTTCCATCGCGACTCAGCAAAGGTTCGCCTTGGGCCAGAGTAGTGTGAGACAGACGTGTGCTGGCAACTGCTCAAGGTCTTTTGCCCAAAGTGTGGCAATGACACCGTCGTTCGAGTCCCAATCATCGTGGATCAGGCGGGATCTCTGCCATTCTTGGCATTATTCTACTGGAGGGTTTTTGCGCTCTGAGGATGGAGTTCCTTCTCTTGTAAATTCTGGGAGGAAGCTCAGGAACCTCGATTGCTTCAAGCTTCCCATGCCAAATTGAAGTGCTTGCTGCTTGAACATGTATCCCAGGACCAAAGGAACCGTTTTCTCCATGCCCAAGCCGCAAAGTGGCAGGGTGTGGAAGCCCATTTTTGCAGAGGACCCTTTGCTTGGTGTTGTGCATACTACCTGTGTTTTCTTTGATGCAGACTTGGCCTGTGTCTGGTCCAAGATGCTCTCAGAGCTTTGAGCCTGAACTCTACATCAAGGTGATGGGCTGCAACGAAGTATTTCTCATCCACTTGTCTTTTTTTCTCCGAGAACTGAACAGTCAAAAGAAAAGTTGAATGCAAGCCTTTCCAACACTCCGCTTCCCACATGGCCCTGGCATCTCCGCAGGCGTGTGCGTCACTAAATAGCCTCCCACTTGAGAGCTAAAAGGTCCCATGTTGTCGCAGTCTTTGTTGCCCGTGTGCAGTCTCCAGAAAGAGCGCTGCTGAGCAAGAGTCAGCGTATTGTTGCATGGGCCTCATGTTGCGGAACGAATCGTAAAGCTCATTTTCTGAAATCATACGGAGCAGGCCCTAGGCGGCGAGCGCGCAGCGACAAAGCAGCTGTTTGAGGCGTGGACGCTCAGGATTTGCATCTTGGTTTCACAGAGACCTTAAATCTTCAGAGCATATTCCAAGGGCAACCGCTGGGTCGGTGGAGAGGCCACCAGAGCACTGAAGAATTCCTGGTTATCTACACTCTGGGACAGGAAGCTGAGATTGATGCTGCTCTCATCCGACAGCCTTGCTCGCTTTCAAGCAGAGCGGGTCCAGAGGAAAGAGAGTCTTTCGACGCGACAGGTCAGTGTGCGGAATGCACTGAAGGTGGCAAAGTTACTGACTTGTCGGTGACTCAGCATTTGGTCCCCCACATCATGGCCTGGATTTCCATATGCGTTGCTGCAAGGAACTTCCACTACAAGTTCTTGCGTGGTCCTCAGTCTGTGGCTAGCAGTGTGGCTGAGTGTGGCTTGATCTTGAGGAGCAGAATCCAGGGCCTGGAGGATCAGGCAGCACACCTGCGCAGCCTGGATTTGTCCTCGCCCGGCACCCACTGTGCCTCTGCTTCCAACTCGGAGATGCGCGAGCGTGGGATGCAGGAACAATATCAGAATCATGGAGAATCTGGGATCCATGATGAAGCTACGCGAGCTGAAGCCAAGTGCTTGGTGTCCAACAGATTCACGATTCAGGCCTTCTACAATTAGCAAAGCTGTGTTGACTGCCATTCAAGGCTGGACAGCTGTCAGATATCCCGCATTCAGGGCCTGGAGAAGTGTCCCAGCCTTCCACTCGGAGCTTGAAAGGATAAACGAGCGGTGTTCAAAGGGAGATTGAGCTTGGCTATGGAGGTCTTCTCTCTCTTCACTTGGAGGACAACGACATCCATTGTGTGGAAGGCACGCGCCGAGAGCTGCGGGCTATAGGTTCAATTGTGGTTTCTTGGAGGTCTTGAGAAGCTCTTTTCCCTGGAGATACTGAACCTTGAGAGGAACAGGCTGCAAAGGCTTGTTTCTCAGAGACCCCACTGAACTGTTCACTGCAAAAACGGCTAAGCAATCCCAGGCTCGGCCGTGGTCTAAGCAAGCTGACAAAGTTGAAGGAGTTGCAGCCTCACTTGGTTCGAACTCAGCAATACCTTGGCCATGCGACGCCCGGCCTGCCCGCAAGGCTTCGCCTGGCCTTGAACCAGCTGACCTCACTGGATGGTCTACCGGGGCTGGGCGCCTTGGAGGCAGGGAGTTGCAAAGCATTGAATTGCTGCGCTATCACAGTAATTAGTGAAGAGTGAGTAGCTGTCTCCTCGTTGGCCAGGTTTTAGATGCCAGCCGCAACCAGCTGGCAAACGTCCCAACCGAAGACCTGAAAGGACGGCAATTCCGGTCAAGAGGTAGCCACTACCGTGTTACGAGAACTGGAACTATTGAGCTTGAAGTTTTTGACACATGAGGCTTAGGTTGCTAGTGGTGGGTTTTATGCAGTTAGTGCATCTAGCCACCACCAGATCCCATAATTGGACACCCAAAGTACCACCAAAATCCCTTCTGAATCTCCTTTCGTGTTTTTCCTTAAATGAAACTCCGATCCCAAACCCCAGCCATGAATCCTAGCCGCCAGAGACCCGAAACAAGCTTTACCCAGGTAGCAACCCTGTGGTAGAATTATAAGCCTGATTTCAGACCTTAAGTCCGCAACCCGAACCTCACAATTGCAACATGGATCCCAAGCTTGAAGCCCACAAATCCTAACGCTGTTACCTTAATTTTGTACATGAAAACCCTTAACCAAAAACACAATAAAAGGAAACCCTAACCCCATCAGCCCCAAAAACATAACAAGCGTTCAGCCGCGGTGGGAGCAATGCTGGGTGGATATTGTGTTACTTGAATGATGCCTCGCAGCGGTGGGCTCATGACCGTGGAGAGTGGTTTGAGCAAAATGAGGACATGATGACGCATGATGCGACATGACCAACAGAAGGATGATGGCCCTGGAGGTTGCCATAGTGGTGATTCGGGTCAGAAGGGCGAGAAGCAGAACTGTAGCCACTGGCCCGGGGCACATAGACCCTTGAGCTGATTTTCTAGGTGAGACCGTTGGGGTCAATCAACAACCCATATCCTGAGTGCCGGCCCACACTCCTAAACGATAGAAACCTGAAACGGCCATTCCAAACCATAAGCCTTCACTTAATCCCAAAAACTCAAAACCTGAATCGCAAACCCTCAAGCCTAAACCTTAATCTTGACACTTAAACCTGCAGCCCTAGCCCTAAAGATTCTGGACCCAAGCCCTGAAAGAGCAAAGACCTTAAGCCCTAGCACCAAAGGCCTTCAGAACCTAACACAAACGATTCTAAAGCCTAATGCCAAAACACTGATCCTAAACCCCAAGCCCTAAACCCTACCCTCGAGCGTGAAATCTCAATGCCGAACTTCAAGCCCTAGCGCTAAGACCCTCAACCTTCAACCCGAAAACACCTAAACCGCAATCAAAACCCTAGTGGAATCCTATAGATATTTGCAAACCAAGCTCGACTTATCACATCACAGTCTTGGGACAAATCCCAATTTTTTGTGATCCAGCTTGTTATTGATTAAGTCTCTCTCTGGATTGCCCCCCCACAAGAAACTTGCCAAAATCATTCGAGCACCTGAGCAATTTCATCAACCCACCCAATTGCCTTCAATCCCTCCCCTTGCCAATCTTCACGCAGAAACGAATAAACTCCAACGTGAAATGTGGTGTCATTTCTACGCGTCGACAGCTGGCGCGGTCTGAGGACTGAGCAAGCTGGACGAGCTGAATCTTGCAGGTGCGTTAAGCACATGTGCCGGGACCATGCAGGCAATCCATGTTGCATTGTTGCCCAGGGAACGGGCTCTCCAGCATTGGCTTCCTTGGCCTCGGAGGTCCCGGCGGTGGCCTTGGAGTCTGGCTTATTAGAACGCCGCTGCAGAAAGTGACAGAACCTGTTTGAAGAGATTCGCAGCGACGGAGTGTAGAGGTATGTGGATAGAAAAGAACTCTGTGAGCAATGACCGAGTTCGCTTGTCGTCCCTCGACTTGTCTGACAACTCGCTGACAACCTCCTCCTTCAAAGGCGAACTGTAGCGTCTTAAGCCGCAGATTCTTCAACCTTCTTGACCTCGGCTTCAGAGGCCTTCCCTGCCTGCCGCTCCTCTCGGAGTTCATGCTGGCGGGCAATCAGCTTGAGGATGTGCGACTTGTGAATTGGAGTGTGGCCTTCCAGGCCTTCTGCAACCCACATGCGCGTTTTCTCTCACTCCAGGAAGTGCCCGGCAACTTTGCAAGCAGTCCTTGCCTCACTGTGCCTCACTGCATGTTGCTGCAACCCTGATCTTTCTGAGCTGCGTTCTGATTCAGGTTGCCCTGCTCTGGAGATCTTGGATGTGTCGCGAAACAAGCTCCTCTCTGTCAATGAGGCTTCCAAATTAAAAGCTGGACTGCCTGAAGGATTGTTTGCGGGTTTCAGAGCTTCCCAGGTGGGCAAACTGAAGACCATTGCCACGTTGCGGGAGCTCAGCGTGCAGGCCTAGACTGGCAAGTACTGCGCCTCGAGACCTTGAGCTGGATCAAAAAGACCTGGCAGGGCAACCCCTTGGCAGAAAGCGATGAGTTTTCGAAGGCTCCCCTGCCGGCCTCAGACAGCAGGCCCAGCTGGTGCTGTCATTTTGCATAGGTTGTCCGCTCTTTGGCGGGCCTAGAGTATGTGGACAACAGGCTGGCTGTGACATTCCAAGCTGTGTGCATCATCTTTAGCAAATCAAAAGCAGGCAGCTGTTACCCCTTCCAAACGCGCTGGAGGAGTGGCTTCGTTTTGTCATGGCTTCAGCTTGTGCAGGTAATTCCTCAGCATGTTGCAGGATGGTGCTGAAAAGGAGGAGATGTTCGGCCTTACCAAGGTTGAGGTCAGCTGTTTGAGTGGTGCTGCAGGCTCTGGCTGGGGTTGCTTCTACAGGCACCGCTCACCACTTCCCGGCCTGGCACTGCATCTCGCTTGGCTCTTGGCTTTCTGACTTACAAGCAACTGCAGCTGCAACAAGCTTCCCCAAACACCCAAAGTTCAGGGCCTGGCACGGCTTCCCGTCCGGGCACAGCTTCGCGGCCTGGAACGGCTTCTGCGATGAAGGAGGTCGCTGGCACCACAGGCTTCAGAACCGTAGCCGCCTTAGCCATGCCTTGTGCGGTCAGGCGGGCGTGCAGCAGCCCCTCATGCACACTCCAGCAGTTCCAGTACGGAAGTGCGCAAGTCAGCGCCTCGGAGACCAGCATCATCCATCACCTCTAATAGAGTCCTTGCACAGGTGAGGATCAAGTGTCTCAGTGGGCGCAGCAGCTTGGATAGAAATGGAACATGGAACCTTCATGGCAATGATTACAGGAGTGATCTCTCAAGATCAGGCAAACCATCGGAAGCCTTCAGGCGATTGGCAAGCAAGTTGAAAAGACATCCTCGCAGGCTCGAGCTTTCTCCGTCACTTCTGTCAGCTCTGGCATACCTTCACTTGCAGGCAGACCAGGACTTGAGGGAGATGTCCTGCCCTCAGCTCCCACAAAGGCGATGTGACTTTTTGTTTTTTAAGGGCACTTGTGGAAAGGCATAGGTACGTCCAGAAGGCCAAGAAAGCGAACCGTCTGCATGCAGAGTGGGAAGCTAGCCAGCGCCCCACAAATGTGAGGCTCAAAAAGCTTGGTGGTCTATCTTGTCTCCCGTTTGTTCATAAGGGCAAGAGGATGCAATTCCAGAAGAGACCGAGGCCAAGGCTGGTTCTCGCAATTCCGATGGCAGATTTTTCCTCACACTTGCAGGCCCCGCCAACTCCAGAGCGCCACCAGGCCAATCACAATCAATCACATTAGCATGGTCTTTCGCCTATGAAATCGCATGTATAGCAAGGCACCGACGCCCCTGCGCCCCAGCTCTGGCAAGGCGAGCCAGAAATTGCGAGAGGCCCCATGCTGAGGATTCCTGCGTTGCTTTGGACAGAGCTACTGTAGTGGTGGCTTGGTTCAAGCTTTGAAGATAAGAACGGGGCATATGATAATATGTTGGCAGTGAGGCAGTAGTGTCGTACCGCAACGAGGACGAGGAGGACGTTACGTTGTGTTCAGCCTCTTTGGTCCACTACTCTTGGCATTAAGTTGGCATCCCTTGATACAGGAAGCTGAAGAGGAGAGTCAGCAGGTCGCTACCTCAAGTGGAAAGATGTGAAAAAGTGGACACAGGGTGAAGTGCTGCATGGATTCCTCGAGGCAGTTCTCAGCCCAACATCGAAGACACGGGCGTCTCTTCTGCTGGCATCCTGCGACGAGATCGAGGAGGTGCAGGAGGTGCTGAATCTGCTACGATCTGCTATGCCTTCTCCAGCACCTTATGTACTTGTCGTACCAGCGCGCTCCACCTCGATGTGCCTGGCTACCCTGATTGGGAGGCTGCTGATGCTGCGTCTTTACCTGCCGAAGAAGAGACGCCAGCTCTTCTGGCAGAAGTAGAGGACCCACAAGATGTGGTCTGCGCTAATTATCATGCTTCCACAAGGCTTGTGTAAGAAGGGGCAAGAAGCTGCAGGCATGGGAACTTCAGTCAATGCAGTAAGCTGCTGAAGGGACAGGTGTGAACTTGCCCAGAGGCCGGAGGTCCAGCCACCATCTGCTGGTGTCTTGCAGGAGGCCCTGGAAGATGAACGGCTCGTTGCACCTGCGCGGCAGCCTGTGGTGACCCCAGCCCCAGCCCATGCACAACTGAGCACCTGTTACACATGCGTGCGCTTTGCCAGGCCAAGACTGGACGGCCGCCTCCAGGCAGCCTCATGCTCTGAACTGACACATGGATCCGGCCCATCTTCGTTCCAGTCGCCAAGTTTGCTGCGCGGTTGTGCCAGGAAAGGACATGCGAGTTGGCATCCGCGCATCCGTTCGCCGCTCCAACTCCGGCACACGGAGCCGTGTAGGAGGCCCGTACCCAGCCAGAGCATCTAGCGCCACTCCTAGTTGTGAGCTGACTGAGAACTGCCGATCAGCCCTTGAGATGCCCTTGCCGGTTGAGGTCCAAGCTCTTTGAAGGGCTATCCAGGAAAGCGCTCCGGTTAATTGCTCACAGAGCAGTATCGGGGCCACTTGGACCGGGAAATCAGACCAACATGGCTTGATACTAGAGTCCTGAATTCATTGAAGGAGCTCCGTCAAACACTGATAGAGCGCATGTGTACATAGTGCAGATAGAGTGTTGCCGGGCCAGCAAGAGACCTCTACGACTCTATGCTGCCTGTGCAACGAGCATCTCAGCCAGAAGACAAGATCCCTGAAAGTTGCATGTGCCAGGCAATCGTTCTGCAGCAGTTATGCGTGTGGACATGATAGGGGCGCTTGATGGGGAGTGGTGGTTTCAGCGGGCTAGCAAAGCTCAGACAGGATGAGATCAAGATTGGCGGAAGAGATCGCGAACTGCGTCATGCTGAGAAGGTCCACGAGAAGGACCTTCAGTAGCAGACATCTCCCATAGTTCTGCCCTGAGTTTCAAGAGCCCTTGTGAGGAGCGCCAACTCCGAGATCCGTTTAACCAGGATAATGCAGAGCCACGCTCAGCTCATGCAATCAATTCCCAGACTGATTGGAGGGGAAAGAAGTCGTGCGAGTGCGCACGTGACCACGCATGTTCTGCAGCAACAGTTTCAACCGTTGGCGACAAGCCACCCCCTCTTGCAAGCATGTCAGTGACTTTTCGGCCAGGCTTTTAGTTGTGCTAATACCTGGTTACTGGCTGTATTCTTGCCAAGGCTCGCGGATGGTATCAGCGCACTACGACAGCCACAGGTTGCCACCTGCAGCTCTCCCTATCTCTCCGTGACGTGCATGGGAGGCTCATGCAAACCTGGCAGGTAAGACCATCACCGCGGGTGGTGGCGGGCCTCGAGTACAGGTGGGTCGGTGACAGGACATCACTAGGTCACCGGCCCTGCCTGTCAGGCTGGATATGGACGCAGAGTCAACCCAAATGCGAACAACTTCCGTGGCAGCTTTGCAGCAGGGCGCGGAAGGAGAGTTTGGGTTGCCATGCTTAACCTCTAGTAGACTCTAGTCCGCTGAGGCTTCAAACCAAAGAAGAGGTAGTTCTTCCTCGACAGCCCTTGCAGCCCTTGGCCCCAGCCAAGCTGCAGTAAGAGGCATTGTACAAAGCCATTATGATGCTGCCTGGACAAAGGTTATGTATTGACAGCATGCCTAGCCGATGCATTCCAACTGTGCAATCAGATTTGTCCAACGCAGATGTACAGCTTCAATCTGAACGTAGCTGGTGCGCGAAAACAGTGGATCCTTGCCGAGAATCCTATCGCTATGTGACCGGTAGACTACTGATTTTAGATAGTCCAACCTAGCCACAAAGGAGTAGTTGAAGCTGATGGTGGATGTGCGACTCGCGAAATGACCGCGGCACTGGCTCAATCAGATTTGCTTTGCCAATCTCTTGGGACAACTGCTTCTGGGAGCACGTCGCTCGCGCAGGCAGGTTGCTAGATGTCTTCCAACACGCGGCTGCATTGAATTCATTAGAACGCCACCGGGCAGAGTCTGCAGCATCTCATGTCCAGCAAGTCGGCTGACAGTCTTTCCGGACCAGGTTACCTGCAGACGTGAAGGTCATCCGCTCATTGCAGGCCGGACCGATGAGCCCGGAACTGCTGTGAACCAGATCCCCGCATTTGCGCGGGCAGCTAAGCGTCCAGGTGTGGCAGGAACTGCAGACATTTGCGCCGTGGGCAGATGTCCATTGGCCCACCCCAGGCAGATAGTCATTATGTTGTGACTTAGGTTTGGCATTTTGAACAATTGTCAACTGGAATCAGTCCTTCAATTCAACTCCAATTCAATGCCCGCAGTCTTCTGAAGCATGCTGGCTTTGAGTTTTTGCATGTTTCCGATGCATTCTGCCGCAATCAGAGGCGCTTTTCTTCTAAGAGCTTTGGCATTACAATCAGATATCCTGATTGCCAGACTGCGATGACGTCGATGTGGCGAAGTGCCTCCTGCGAGGACATCGGCAAGCGGGAGTGTCATTTGCTTCCGACAACACATAATGTGCACAATGCAGTTCTCCCCAGGATTTTGCGCTGATGAACACCGCACCTCCTCCTTCAGATGACGCCGAGCGTTCGCGCATGGTAAAGGCCAGCCCGCATACTGGCATGGAATGAACAACTCGAGATCAAGCCCCAGCCAAGGTCATACAGGGCACCTGGATCAATATGGACTGTCCAGCAGAGAGGCCCCCTGCATGCGAAGAGGCAACGCAATATGCATTGCACCTGCGAACAGGTACTCTGTAGTGGGCCAACACGTAACTCGCCAGACCCTCAGCACCAGTTGCCAGAACAGCACTGGATCTCACGCCGAGCAGACTTGAAAGACAGGCAGCGACGTTCAAGGCTGCCGCCACTTCACTTTATGCTGGGATCCGAGAAGGCCAGACAGAAGCTGAATTTGAAATGCCTCTTCCAGCACTACTGTAAAGCAGCTAGCTGGCAGACAACCAACTCCAACAACTCTCTGCATGGAAATTGGAAGAAGAAATGCATCGCGTCAGGAAGCAGCTGCAATGGGGCACACAGGGCAGGCCAGTTTTGTGCAGTCTTGCGGCAAGTTCAGTCAGATTTTGTGCAAGCCAGGCTTTACCTGGCCTGCCTTGGTGATGGCATGGTTGCGTGGGTCCCCAGCAGGCCGTGGAATTCAAAGTCTGCAGGTCGAGGTCTTGAATCGGAAGAGGTCTTAACGATGGAAGTGGTTTGGCAGGTATAGCTCTCGAGCCTGGCGTTGGCAACGGGTAGCAGCTCCGCTGCCGCATCCCCAGAGGCTTCGCCATTCACTGGCAGACTGTTGTACTGTTGTTGGTGTCGACGTTGAACGCACCATTGCTGGGCTGGGCGCTGGTTGCGCCTACTGCTGCTGCCGCATCCTCCTGCTCCCTTTTCCTGCGACTCCTTCCTCCTCACCGTCACAGCTGCACCGCTGCTGATGCTGCTGATGCTGCTGCTGTTCCTACTGCTGCTACAACAGCAATAGCTACTCTTGCGGATGCTGCCACTACTACGAGTTTTTCTACTCCTCCTCCTCCTGCTCCCTGTTGCCAGCACCCACAACCTCCTGCTGCTACTAACCCCTGTAACACCAATGCTATCTGTTCTTACTATAACCATCATCATTTCTGTCTCTGTTGCTCCTGCTCATATAGCAAAAGCCATGCTTCAGAACTGATTCGAGTATTGGTACTACTACAGCGGGTTTGGTCATCTCACATCGGTTGTTTGTTTTACCCATCGAGCAGCGTCCATGCTGGGGGACCCAGCTCAAAAACATCTACTAGAATAGATGTCACGCAAAAGCAATTCTTGCCATTGTGATGTTTCTACAGCATCCACAGGGTTTCAGCTCATGATGCGGCAAGCCTGCATAGGATCGCTTATGTTGCATGCTGTGTGTAACACCCGGAAATGCTACATCAATGTGACACATTGTCACACCCATGCAGTTCTTTGCAATTCAAGGAAGGCCACCTTTTCTTCCGTTGATTGTTTACGTGCCATGGCTCAATGGTTTAGTATCAAAAACCGTCCCGGGCGGCCTGGTCCACAACGCATTAGTCGGGAAATGGGAATCCTCATACAAGAAGATATGACTCTCCTCGAAAATTGCGTATTAAATACTCGGCAGTATAGGGGCGTCCACGTGAACTGATTGCATTAATCGGGAAATGGCAGTATCTCATCATCCCATGTTGGGCTCTGTGTAAACCAGCGTCTACATGTGGAATCATGCGTACGAAATTTAAGACCTAAATCTTGTGATTTTCTACTCGAACACCAGCGTCCGCAGCAGAACGGGGAAATCCACGCTTACGTCGGGTCGCCCTGGAACCAGCGTCTACCTGGGATTACCAGGTTCTGATGTGTACATATCCCGCTGAAGTGAAATCTTCCCAAGGCAGCGTCCGGTAGATGACGTGTATTCTCACCCCGAGGGTGTGTCTTAACCCCGGCGGGGAGTAGTTGCAGTGGCAGCTTCAGCAGCAATATCGCTGGCAATAGCAATCGCAGCAGAAGCAGCCGCATCCGGAGCAGCAGCACATCCGCCGCCGCCACCACCACCACCACCACCAGCAGCAGAAGCAGCAGCAGAAGCAGCACCAGCAGCACTAGAAGCACCAGAAGCACCACCGGCACCACCAGCGCTTCTTCCACGACTGGTAGCTTTCCCACAGCGAAAACTACTACTGCTGCTGCTGCTGCTGCTGCTGCTGTCATGGCTCATTTGTTTTAATGCTACTTTGTCACTGCGATAATGACTGCTACTACTACCACCCTGTCGAGCTCCACTGGCAATTTCCACTCCTGGGATGGCAATTGTTTATCGAGATTGTACAGCACTGAAGTTAAGATGACTTCGCCGCGATGGTCAGACAGTCACTAGCAACAACTCTTGACCTTGAGCTTCGCTTGCTATCGTACCCTGAAACAAGCAAATAACAGTGACAAATCCCAGATCATGTTTCTCACCTGCTAGCTGACAGACCGCCACACTCGCTGCCGCTGTGGACGCCGCTGCCATGTCAACAAGGACTCTGTATGACAATTTAGGCCCTGTCAGTGCGACAGTATTGGCAACGAGGATTCGCAGCTCATCCTACAGTGCGAGTTGGTGGCTGAGGAATTTGTTGTCGAAACATGCTTTGCATCGCAGCTTCTCAATGCATTGTGTCAGCGGAAGTTGGTGGGTACGGGTCTCGTCGCGTTTGCCTACCTGAAGTAGGGAGGAGGAGGCTGTTTAATCCATGTGACATGTTTCTGGAGGGTTTCCATGCATGGAGTGCAAAATGAGCGGCTGAAAGTGAGGGCTTGTTGCCGGAGGTCTTGTATGGTCTTGTGTCAAGCTGTGGCTATCATCTGAACTCATACCTGGGGGCAACAGATTCAACTGGGCTCGGGACTGTTTAGAAATTAGGCTTGCCTGCCTCGCTCTTACAGGATCCATTCTAGTATGTTCTAGTGTTTTTAGCTTTTGACGGTGAAGTCTGCTGAGTTCTCAGGCCGACCAAGCTATGGCCAACTACGGTCCCTGGCGGAGGTCGATGACAGTCACATTATCTTGACAGCGCGGTTGCCATCGTTGGGCGAGGCCCTACGGCGCTGCGCTTCGCAGCTGGGCACCGGGCTATGCAGGCACTGAAGATTTCCAGAGTTTGACAATGGTCGCGGCCCATGCTTCTTGACAGGTGGCCGCCCTGTGCGGTGCTTAAGCTTTTGCGGGAAACCTGCTATGCGGATCCAGCGAGCTGTTGAAAAACTCAGGATTTCCCGCAACGCCGAAATCATTGCCACTACGGTGGGAGCCTTGCAGTGCTACGAAACTCATGACATCTGTCCCGAACAAATGGGCCACAGCAAGGTTATGGTGCCCGCGGCTTCCATGGCAACCGCAATATACAAGGTCGGACATGATGGAAACAGTGAGTGAAACCAAGTTTGTTTGGCTTGCCTTTGAAGGATCGGCGGTAAGTATGCCTAGGTCGTGTTTAGGACCCTGAGAATGTTCTGGGTATGCGAGGCACAGTCATGCAAAGCTAGATTTCCTGGGCTTTGCAAGCTGGTAGCCATCAAAAGGGACCGAAAGGATCCTTGCAGAGTGAGGTCTGAACCTGGAGAGGGATTCTCGCCTGGCCTGTGGACTCTCGAGTTCGGAGGCCATGACCCGCTTGAAGACGGCCTGGGGCAAGCAGGTTCCGGGAGCCTGCGTCAGGTCTTTGATCTCCTGTTCCGGGATATCACTCCGGATGACTACGAGACCCTGCTCCGCCTTGACGAGTCCGTCTCAAGGCTCCGGCTGAAGCGACCCTACCATCCCTACCCTACTTATCCTTACTTGACCTCTCCGGTGTGTTTCGAGGCCCACCGCAAGCGCCTCCTGCATCAACAACTTGAAGAAGGAGTTGCCCTCAGATCTTGCCTTGCGTAGAGAGGATACAAAAACTCAGGCATTTTGCCCTGTTTGGGATGCGCCAAGCTGGTGTACCGACCAAGGTCCCTGGCAAGGATCTTGTGGGCGAGGCAGGGCCTTGCACAAGGGCGTACATGTTACCAGGACAGCCCTCAGTTCATCAAGCGGCACCCATTTTTGCTTTCTATTTGCGGCAGCCACGGGCAAACACAAGTCACATCTGCTGCGTTGGAAAGGGATGGGGAGAGCTTTGTGCTACTCAAAAAGCTTTTTCGGGGTGTCGATGAAAGAAGTCCAGCAGTGCTTTGGGCTGGCACGAGGGGGTTGCTAACGGAGGAACTTCACGTGGTCACCTGGCCTGGCAATTCAAAAGTGCAAAAGAAGACATTAAAGTCCGAAGGAGAACTTGTCAACGGCAATCTGCTTATGTCATGTAGTGCTGACTGTCATGTAGTGCTGACCCTTGATCACCCTGATGCAGACGTGCTCGGTCTGCTTGGTGGCCTTCGACGACAGCGATGTGGCTGCGGCACTGCCGTGCGGGTGCATCCGTGCTAGGGTTTGATGGGAGAGGGTCATAAGCCCTAGGCCGGCTAAGCTTGGGGTGCTGTTGGGCTTGCTTCGAGGCCAGGCTCACCGCTTGCAAGCTGCAAGGTTCTCGGGGCGCAACCTGAGTCAGCTGCACTTCGCTGCATTTTGAGGGCATTGAAGTTGCTTTTCCAAGTTTCGCTTTCGTAGATCCCTGTACAAGTAGTTGAAGCCTGGTGGTGAGACCTTGTTATTCATGCGTAAAATGTCTAGCAGATAGGAGGTAGAGCTGAGACCCCAAGTTCTTTACATGCTTCTTACAGCAATCAATAATGAATCACTTTAGTGCATGACAGACACTGCACCAGGCTCTCAGTTGTGGAATTCTTTGGGTTCAGTGCCTGTGAACTCTGGGGAAAACAATGCTTCTGCTTTGGTATGCACCTGCTTGACTATTACGGAGCAACCAGCAACCTGGGTTTAAGAAGTCCCAACAGCTCCATCCCTGCAGCTCCCAACAAACTTAGATACTGCACCAATTGCACCTTCAAGCCCATGCGTCGTTTGATAGCTCAGATGCCCAACCCGGTCAGCCCAAATTGAAGTTCGAGCAGAGCCGTTCTTAGGGCTCTTTGGATGGCAAGTACACTGCCGTGCTGACAAGCTGCACCATCGACCCCCAAAGAGCTGGATGCCCTGCATATCTGGCATTCCAATATGAGCCTCAACTTCGCGACGACCAATGTGTGTTGCTCCTTTGGCTGCTCGTGATGTTTGTTCTAGGATTGGCATGTTCCGTTCAAAGGTCCTCTGAAGCTAAAGCGACTCTGTACGTACTGTTGTTAGCAGCTGAAAGCTTGGCGACTTTCTGAGGTATCACCCTTCCCCCGTGCTGCAGATGGAGGGGCTCCCTGTATTTTAGGCCTTAGGTTGCAGATGAGTCGTGGCGCCCGGTGTAGGCCCCGCAGTGCCCCTAGGGTAGAAGGATACGCCTGTCGGTAGAGCTTAGAGAACTCCGAAGTGCCTTGTGCCAGGCACCACTTTCACTTCGACTGTGTGAGCAAGTGGCTGGCTGAGTGCCGCTCTGCCTGTCCACTCTGTGGCGAAGACATCGCAGCCTGCGCATCTGCCGCATCCGTGTCCGTGGGGACGGAAGCAAAGTCCGGCAGAGAAGAACTTTTGCCGGAGAGGGAGAGGTCAAGTGCCTCAACAGATCGCGTTTAAGAGTCCCGACCACCGCTGCGTTTGGCAGGACTGATACTGCACTGTTCTACAGGGTGGGAGCCAGGGCACATGCTATGTATTAAGCTCAAATCCTTTGTAACACATGAGTGCCGGCTTGGTAAAGCTTGATTAAAAGGCGGTGTACCCTGGCCTGTGGCGACGATGATCCTCACCTTTGGGAATGTTCTGTTGGTTTGCAGCGCTGCAGATCAGAAATTGTTCATCTTGAAGGACATGCATTGTACGGACGCCTTGGGTTGCACTTTCCCTGCTAGGTACGCATCTTGCTGCGACAGTGGTAGCCATGATGACATGCAGAGCCACATGTCCGGCTGAATGTTCAGGTTTGAAGTGAAGTATCAGACGAGCATTCCTTGGTGCTTTGTGCTTGTACTGTTGTGGGCAACAGCTCATGCCATGAGAGACTTGGTGGGAATTAAGCTCACTAGTGCATCGGGTAGATAATGGGTTGTCACCCCAACGCTGTGGTCGCCCGTCTGATTCAATGGCAATAGTGCAGCCAGTACATCTTAGCAGTTTAGCGGGTCGGATATGGATATGGTGCAAAAGGTGTAGTAGCCTTCGCAGTTACAGCCCCTGTCAAGCAGTTGAGGTTGTTCGGCCGAGCAGCCCATTGATGTATGCCGGGGATCATACGCTGGTCATCATTTTGGTCAGAGAGAAGATAGATCGTTCAGTGGGGCGACAAAGAAAGGGCATGGGCACATGGCTGCGACAGCAGAAGATCTACGTTCATCCCAGAACCTTTTTTCGCTGCCCTAAAACGTGTACCATGTGTGCTCAGAAAGGCGGCACGTTCCGTGCTAACTTCAACGGGAAGCCAAGCTGGATGGGTGAGCCGTGTGAGCAAGCCCAAAACCAACATTGAAACCTGAAGCCGTTATCCTGGTCAGCGATGTGACGTTTCTAGCCGGTGTCTTGGCAAATAATTGTGTTGTTTTAGGACCTGTGCACACGTGAGCAAGTCATCAGGTGCCCTGGCGAGCCATAGGCCTGAGCAAGCCATAGGCCAAAGGGACCAAGGCCAAAAGAGGCCAAAAGAAGATTTATGTTTTCACTCGCTGCTCCTTGTGGTCCCTGTTCAGGTCTGCAAGCAGAAGTTCTTTTTAGCTAGGGCGAATGCAGATCACGCTCAAGTGACTAGAAGATGGCAATGATACTCTGGCTGCCGACTTCTTCGTCGGTGGGAGCCCTAGACACACTCAGGTGAAAGTTGCCCTAGCTGTAAGTTAGGAAGAGATTGCACGCTCTCTTTGCTGCTCACTTGAAGGCCACCCGTTCTGCAGTTCGAGCCCAACCCCCCCCATAGCACCCTGAGAACAGGAAGTACACTGCGCGGCCAGAGCAAAGGTTTCAGGTGCTCCGCTGCTCCACAGCCCGCAGCAGCTAGAGCCTTTCAGGGTTCTTCAAGATCATAAAAAGATCAAAGCTGTTGTGGGCTTGCAGGACACATCGCGCCAACCTGGCACACGCATCCTTTTCATTTTGTACAGAGGACTGGCCAGGGAAATGCACATCAGATCGTTGGCTGAACTCACTTAGATTGGCTTGTCGAGCCCAAGCGCAGCATTCGCAGCCTGAAGGAGTCTCGCAACGAAATCTTGCTTTGGCTTCGCCATTTTGGTGCCCGGGCTGTTGATTGAGGCTTAGGTCTGCCAGCTGACCCCTTCTGACGAGGGTTGATGGCCATTCTGTACGTCTCATAAGATTTCTTAATTTTGAAGCACGGCCCATCCAAGCCTCCCTTCCGCTGATCATATCCTAGTCACCGAGAAGGAGTTTCGGTATCACATACAATCAGAGTGCTTTTGAGACTAAACTAGCGCGGTGGGCTGGATGTGGCTAGACTCGTTTTGCCTGGGCTGCTTGGTAAAGGTAGCTCCATGCCCCACTTTTTTGTCTCTCTCCCTCCCCCTGTCTCTCTCTTTTTTTTGTGGAGCCACAAGCACGCATGCAGCTTTTCTTCCATGCGGCTTTAGAGAGTGATTTCTAGGTTGCTACACAATTTTCATCAAAGTGATGCATCCCATGCTCCGTCTCGGATCCCCCGGGCAGACATGAACACACTGAGTGGACCGGCTTCTAACCTGCAAGTCGAGGTTTGCGGCCACATCGCTGCCGTATCCCTTCTTCCTTCACTTTGTTTACCTTTGCATGCTTTGCCAGAGTCCTGGACTTTGTGATTTGTGCGTGCTCTGGCCAGCTGGATTGTTGATTGCCCTTAGCATCTCTGGGGATGGCCTGAGGTTCCTCACAAACTTCTTGGCTGCAACCCGTGAACTCATCGTTGGTTTTTGCTTGATTGCGGGTGCACGGCCTGCAGCTATTGTCAGTTGCGCTATGTTGCGCTGCTTCTGTTCAAGTAGGCAGCAAGCTTAGGGGATGGTACAGTGCTGGGGTTATCCAGGTTTGCAAGCGTGTCCCATTTCTTTCAAAAGTGGGTGTGAAGCTAAACATGCGGCCAGCTAGTGAAGTTTCCATGAAGACTTAGTACTGTGGGAATGCAAGTGAGAGGCCATGTTAAGCATCACTTTCCACCTACAAACCTTGCGACCTTTGTAAGGAAAACCTACAATCCGTACATTGTGAGTACTTGGCGTCAGGTTGCAGAGCGTTGTGCCTGAATTTCTACTTGGTTAAGACCAAGGTAACCACCCTGGTGGCTAGCAGCATGGTGACAAGTGAGGGGCCCTTTCGTCGATGCCGTTTGCTCTCGGATTTGCAAGACTGACGCTGCACCTTGCAGTAGCTACACACAATCCCTAAAGAATGGGAAGGAGTGTTCAAGACAGGCATATGAAGCAGCCAGCAAGCCAGCAACGTTCAAGCAGAAATCGGACCAACAAAACTTACTGCAAGATGCGGGGTAGGCTTGTGCTGTACATAAGTGGGCTGTAGGCATGATGCCCTGCCGCGCCGGGAGTTCCAATTGTAAAGGCCAGGAAACCATGTCGGCATTCTTGTCTGTAGGGTGCTTGAGTTCGTTTCGCGGTGCACATGGTATTTGCTTACACAGCTCCAGACTACAGGCTTGACGAAGCAACTTGCGTTTGTGCTCCTCCGACCTGAAAGGGTTGTGAGGCTCGGGCTCCCTTCGCCCGTGGGCAGGGCGCTCCGCCCATTCCGCCCTATGGCGCACGGGAACTTGACAATGAGGTCTCTCTATTGAGCGCCTCACAGATTTCAACAGATTCTGTTTGCGGGGCCTCCATACTTTTCAACTTCTGCCCGGTGGCGTGCATTGAAATTCTGCCTTCCTCAAAGCTAGGAGGAGGTCAGTGCAGGCTGAGAAAGTCATGCGTCGGCGAGGCGCAAGACCATCAAATCTCCAGAGAATGATCTTACAGTAGGACAGGAATCATACAGATCGCCAATGAAGAGAGCAACAAAGAGCAGACATAGCAAGTGAGCAAGTATATTTCAGACTCGGCAGACCTCTGTGGCCTAGAGGCTCGGCATTTTTCTTCGCTGCAGCTGGGGTTGACTGCAGAACACGTGAAACAGGCTGGGAAAAGTAAAGTGCCTACAGGCATATTTCAAAAAAAAAAGCGTGTTCCGCAGCAGAGCGGGGCGCAGATGCACATGTCACAAAGGCTGCCACGAAGCTGCTGGTAGCAAGGACACCTTGTGCATGTTGCTAGCAGAGGCAGCCGGCGTGTGCTTCTGTGCCGGACTTGAGGTGGGCGTTTCTTGCGGGCGAGAAGCCCTGCATCGAGGAACCGTCGCAAGAGAGAAACCACACAAAGCAGCACAAACTTTCATCCCAACTCCCAACAGCTCTTGAGACAGTTCCGCACATGGCTGCAGCTGCGGCTCCCAAGGCACGGCACAGGGAATTGGAACGTAACAAAGAGGATAAACATTTGCCATGTGTTTTGAATTGGAGTTGGGGCTTGCGCTGATGGCCGCATCCCAGGCGCTCGTGCAGGAGCAGCGTCGAGTATCACTGAGCGGCGCGTGCTTGTGCAGGAATGCGCGCGACTAAGCCGAGCCAGCATGCAATCGGGAATCTGAAAGCATGGCATCAAGCAACAGTATATCAGTATATACATATACACAGCTGCGGCATGCTTTAGTAGACTTTAGTAGGAACACTGCGGGCTGTGGGCTCTAAGGGTTGATGTTTAGGCACTGGATGCCTCGCTTTCGCTCTGCAATGCTCTGCAACGCCCCGCAGCTCCGCACATCGATGGAGAGAGACCTCGCATCCCCAGTCATGAGTTGCCAAAAGGCTGTGGGTTGGCACTGCATCTGCCAACCGATTGGACTGAAGCATGTCCAGACAGCTTCACAACTTCTTGTGCCGGTTTGCGCAGGTGCCGCAGCAGGTTCATACACATGGCAACAGCATCAACCATCAACGCCGTGCAGTGAAAGCGTATTGTTTAGGCCAAGTTTCACGACCTGGAGGTCATAGGACCCACTTGGATCCCCAATCGGTTTGAGTGCAGCCAAGTGTCTCGTCAGTGCCATAAATGCTTGCATGGCCTCGGCTGAACGTGAGGTTGGTGATGGTAACTACGTAGTACACTTCACAGGAACTGCTCTCCGGTTGTCGAAGGGTTGTGCCTGTCCAAGTCTTGTGTAGCCGTAATTAATTTTCCTCCTTTTAGATCAATTTACTTGCAGGCCATACTTCAGAGCCAGGCGTGCGAAAGATTTGCAGCAGCCTCATTACCTCTGATGTCGCGCATGCTGTCTGAGAATGCACGGCTTCAATCTGAAAATGTTTGCCTAATGCTTCATGAACGCCAAAGTCACTCGGACAAATTGTCCTTCTAGGCTGGTTTTGCCTCTGCATGTTGTTCGAAATTGCTAAGACGGTTTGTGTTCCGGCGACAGCTGCCTATGCAACTTAGCTTTCAGGGCTGTGTTGGCTTGGGCTTGGCTAGCTTCATGCGGCTTGGCAGGGTTTGAGCGATGAAAAGAAGCAGCAACGAAACGTCCCAGAATATGGGTATAGGCTAAACTCCTGGTCCCTTCTTGTTCTCGTTGGATCAGAGGACTTTGGGGTTCACCTTGGATTTCGTGCTCAACTGGCATGGGCTCAGTTCTGGGGCAGAGACTGATTGAGGCTGTCTCGGAGAAGGCTGCTCTCTCAGAAAATCGCATGGCAAGGAGACTCGCCAGTTTCCTCTCCCTGAGGTAATCTACCGGGGCCTCGCAAGTACCATTTTTGAAGGAGTGGCAGCCTCAGCCATAGGTGAAGGAATTCACTCCCGGGTACATGCCTGATTCACACCACAGATCGAGAAGAAGACGAACTTGCGAGTTGCGATCAAGGCCAGCTATCGTCCTTATTATGTGGACCCCCAAGAAGAGTACCCCTAATTTTGGGAAACCTTCATTTGTTTGATGGAGGCGCTCCTAAAAAGCAAGTTCGAGAATGAGAAAGAGTTCAAGCAGTCCCTCCGAGAGGCGTCGGTCTGGATTGCATCGGGGCTGTGTTTGGATAGAGTGTCTTTTTGTTGGGTTTGGGCTTTTCTCATGGGTTTGTTCCCCTACTTCCCCGCTAGGTTCCCCCGTTCATTCAGGTTAGGTAGGACAATTAAGCTTAAGTAAGGCTAACTCAGGGGGAGCCTGGGCGTGCTTAGTATAGAGGGAGTGGTAGGGGAACCCATGATGTTTTCAGGTGGAGTTGCATGCGGCGATCCCGCACCACAAGAACGTGCTGCAGGCCATTACAGTAGCAATCCTGAAAGTGTGCTGTTCACGTTTGTCCCAATGCGCACCTTTCTTGTAGTGCAATCATCTTGTAGCCCTTCTTACCTTGCAGCCATTTGGGAATTTGCTGGCCAGCATTGCAAAAGCTACCCAGACGTGCGGGAGAGCCACAAACAGCAGCAGCATGGCAGATCCATGCAAAAGAAGAAAGCTTCCATGGTTGGAGATGCTTTTTTTGCAGCCATATGCATTTCAAGCCTAACCTAACCGTGGTCTTGCTGTGAACTTACTGTGAGCTCACTGGGAAAACACAATGTAACAGGTCTGGTTGAGGTACTTCCTGCACGTGGGCAGCCCCACCAGCCGACTCCAAAATCATTGGTGGACAGCCAACCTGTGAAGCTTAACAAAAGCAAAAGGGAACTGCGGGTGTCTTTGTGTTGGAGGGTTAGGGAGGTCATGTAGCCAGTGCCATGCCTGCATGGCGCACTGCTCCGCCCAGTGTATTTAGGCCGTCCTCTCCTAAGCCCTGACCCCAAGACGCAGTCCCTATAACGAATAGATTTTGTGAAACAACAGTTCCTTTCCAAACACTTTTCCCGTGCTCTCAAAACATGACCACACAACGTGAGTTGTGCCCTGTGGATGTGGTGTGTGCAGCGTGGCTGTGAGGATTGCTCGCGTCGCTGTTGATTGGAAGTGGCGGGTTGGTCGGGTGCAAGAACTTTGGTGTAAAATCGTGGCAGGTACTCTGTGCATCTTGCGGAGGCTCTGTGAGTGAAAGGCTTCTATTCTGTGGAGATCTGGCTGGGTAAGGGTGGCCGATTCCATGCTGTACACGATCATCGGAACGAACACTGCGTTGTATGTTCGTAGTTTCCAATGAAGTGGCAATCCCGTATGTCTCCAGAAGTGGTGCAGGGTGTTGACGTGTTTCCTGGCCTTACGCAGACGTTCGGTGACATCCTTCCGCGTCGTGCCGTTCCGTGAGAGGAAAACACTCAGGTGCTTCGGGTCATCCACCTCCTTCACCATGTTGGTTGAAAACTATGTTTCTGTGAGGTGGGCGATTTGAGCAATTCGGACTTGTCCCAGTAGAGCTGGAGGTCGCCGTGAGATGCCGTCGTCTCAACCAATTACAACAACTGCTCCACCCTTTCCGCCGTGCCCGCCACCAGCGCTGTGTCATCCCCATACGCGAGGTTTGCTGGCTGAAAATCCACGGCATGAGGCCTCCGTTCTCCCGGGATTGCTTGTCCAGGTCGTGCGAGATCATGCTGTAAACTGAGGAGCAAGTAGGCGACAAGGGGCACCCTTGACGGATCCCTGACTTGGCTTCCAGCACCTCGCTTGTTTGACCTGCTGCTCGAACTTGGAAAACCTTTGAGCTGTGGACGTTGGAGATCAATGCCGTAAAATACTCCGGGACACCTCAAACATATCTCCACGTTGAAGATGCATACTTGTAGCAAATTTGGGATGGGTTCTGATCTGACTTCAGAAGGTAGTGACTTTCCTGCTCACAGCCGTGGAAGTGAAACAACCGGCGCCATCTCATACAAGTCTGATGCAGCTGTTCTCATGTGCTTTAGACATTCTCACCTGCTGCAGCTCCTCTACGCGGAGGACCTCGGAGCTGCACCGCATTGACGCCAGCAATCGATGAACAGTAGATGTTTAGCCTTGGCAGCGTCTTCGAGCAAGGAGCTAGCATCGGCCATCCTGTTGGTGTTCCCCTACGCCCCAGGCAGCCCACAACAGCTCTGTCATGCCCTATGGCATTTGCTTCTCCCTGTCTTGTCTTTGCCACCTCCTGTTGCGTGAGATGGCGACTTATGGGAGCTGATGCGGTGCGCAAGCCATTTTTATTTTATGATAACAGAATCAGATGCAGGGCTTGGGAGCTACATGCTAGAGCCTGCGCTAGAGGTACGGACAGACTTACTGCGAGAAGGAGGTGAGAAACTGCGCTGGGCAGCTGTTGCAGCTTGGCCGGATGTCCCAACAGTTTTCTGCTCCGTAAGAAGACGGCGACCGGCGATGACATGGCTTGCGGCGCTCGCGCTTATCTGCCCTTCTTCAGGAGCGCCCTCAATCACATTCACACAGTGGCAAGCAAGGGGCCTAGCTTTGAGCAAGCCTGTGGTGTGTGGTGGCCTGGCAATTGGCAATTGCATGCTCGCAGATCTCCTGCACGGCGACATCAAGCCGCATAACTTCTTGCAATTCAGCCACATGACCGCACAAGGAGGATAGGCCTTCATGTCAAAGCGCTGCAATGCCTGTCTGGGCCACGCTTCGCAAGGAGAGCCGCCACCGCTAATCTCCACGTAAGGAACTAGTCTTCGGGCGGCCATGGCTTATGCAGTTTCACTTAAACACTGTTTATCAATAAGGGAAACCCAACACCGATACCCCCTATAATGTTCGGCCGCCTCTGGGAATGAAAGTGTTGGCAGAAGCTCAGGAGTCGATGGACGCTTTGCTGTTCAGCTTTGCGATTTTGGCTTCGCGGAGTACCCAGACCAGCCTGGAGGTCTAACACCGAGCTCTCTACGGGAGATTGATGCATTCCAACAACATGTGTCAAGCAACTGAGCCTGCGTTTTGCTCATCCCAAACATTTCTTGGTTCTGAAGCAGGAGTTTTCACCTATCAGCAGCTGAAAGGCACACATGGCTGGAAGAAGCCTGAGCTTCCAACTGGTTGCGTCCTTCCCGCGCAGAATGCCCAAAACCCGCCTAGGTTTGCTCCGGAGATGCTGGGAGAGCAGAGCCACAGCTTCAACTTGGACCTGTTTGGAGTCGGCCTCATCCTCTTCAGGCGAGCTGGCTGAGCTTGGCCGCATTGCAGGTGTTGCCGTTTTTTGCAGGCTCCTCGCTGGGTATGCGCCATTTGAGCCGCCTTCTCGCTTCACCCAGCCAGAGTTTGACGAGAGGCGCGAGTCTTCTTTGTCACAGGGCCTTTGCAGGTTCCGACCCCAGCAGGCACATTCTGGCAGGTACTGGTGCCACGTCAGTGGTCCGTGCAGAGAACTGGTGGCACAGCTGCTGTCGCTGCAGCCAGCGAAGCGTGGCACGGTACCGTGCCCGAGACAGACTCGCTGCAATTCTTTTGATGTTTCCAGCTGCTGTACATTTCAAGACCACACTTGAAGGGAATCACGCGGGGCTGAGGCGGCCGAGTGCCTCCAGCACGCATGGACCTGCCCTGAGCCGGAAAGTGCTCCTTCTGAAGGAAGAGGAGGAGAAGAAGATGAGTCTTACTCTCAGGTTGGCAGGGCTTCAGCCACCGGAGGTCGGACAGCATCAGAGTTTTTGGCAGACGTTCACATGTTGCGGAAGTTGCGCGCCAGCCTTCGCCTGAAAAGCTCCAAGAGCTCTCGACGTACGGCGCCCTTCCGGACACCACCGCCAGAGCACTCAGAACCTCCACATGACATTGCTGCATTACCACCTTACGCAGAATGGCTGTCCGTCCATGTTGCCACAAAGCTAGAACTTCAGGTCCTGTTCTGGCCTGTAAATCAGATCCCGTCGAAGGAGTGGCAGAAAAGTGCCATCCTCAGCAACTGGGCCTGTAGGCCATGTAGGCCACACAATTTGCTTGGATGCTTGGCAATGGCAGGTTATGCCAACCTGGCGGACGCTGCTGGCGAGGTTGCAAGGGTACATTGTGACAGGTTTCTGCGATTTTGTCTCTCAGTTGGATTACCAGGACGAAGAGCTGTCACCGACATCTGCTTAGCGGATCATTCCTGAATTCGTTGGTTTTGTAGGAGCTTCAGGCTTTTGTGACCTGAAATACCGTTTCTTGAAGCCTACGCTCGCGTAGGCTGCAGCTTGACCCCTGATTAAAGTGACACTCGGATTGTCTCTGCTCTGAAGTTTTAAGATGAAAAGTCGGAAGAAGGTTCTTGTTCTGCGAAGGTGGCCTGTTCCGAAGGTAAGCTTGTCAGGGGCAAACTGGATTGCGATATGTTTGGACCATGCGCTTATGTGAGCTGAGAAGATAAAAAATCGATCAGGCAATCACCCAGGACTCATCCGAAAGGATGAGACATGATTCAGGCATTCCTGAAAGACAGCGGGCTCAAGGCAACGACCTCCAATAAGGATTTGCCATGAATTGCCGATTTGCTTACCTGGGCCGCTGACGTGCCGGCAGCTGTCCAGAAGAGGTGCCTGAAACAAGCATTCGTTCATGCGTGTGTCCTCCTGTCCCTGGCATGTCACCATGTACCTGCATGAGAATTATCGATTCGGAGGATCTCTATAGATGTCAAGTACATTGCCAGAGGCTGGGTGAAAGTGCTAGGCCTCCTTTGTTATCGCAGCCGGGTGCTTGCCTGATTTTGCAGATCTCTGGCTCTAGATCACCGGAAGCTGCGGGCTCATGGGGTTGGTGAAGACAGGCTGAGCTGTCAAGCTCTTCTTTTTGCAAGGGCCGGAGCCTGAAGAAGAACTCAAACTCCAAGTTCTTGCCAACTTCGCAGGCCGGATTAGGGAGCGCTGCAGTGGCACTGGACTTAAAATTGCTCTCCACTGCAGCCCACCTCGAAAGGCTCGATTCGGCTACCTGGGCCACCTGTGCCTTCACAACTCGAAGGAACGGCGCGTGCAGCTAGCGCACACAAATATCAGTAAAACATGCGTAGTCTTCGCATTCAGCACTATGACAGAAAAAGAACAAAGACGTCGACAGCGCGTGCAGGATGACCCAGCGGAGGCCTTGCGCAACATCACGGCATTGGATGCTCCAAGCTTCCTGCCTAACGTCTGAACCTTGGCAGCCGACAGCCGCAATGAGCATGCCGCTTACTTGTAGCAAACCTGTGCCACAGGTCATGACATTGCAGCGTGCTTCGACACCATGGCAATACAACACACCCTGCCGAACTTTGGAGGCACGTCAATGGCATCTTGAATTGAATGAGCTGACTGTGGGTACTCACAGCGTTTCTCTGGAGCAATCACTCAAAGTTGAACAGGCAGCTTGTGCTGATGACTCAAATCAAGGCCGGACCTAAATTGGTTGAAGCAAGGAATCAATAGACTGCAGGAGCACAGTCGGGCGAGTAGTCTGTTGGGGTGAAGGCTCTGGGGCTTCATGCGGACGCATGGATTTTCTGCTAATGGTTCCACTATGTTCTGGGTTGAGACATGTTCATCCCGGTCTGTAGTAATCAAGATTTGTCCGTCTGCCTTTAATGGCCTGGGAAGTCAGAAGCAGAGAGGAGAACTGTATTTGAAGCTAATTGTTGTACCAGTGGCTGCAGGTGAGGTGGAAACACGATCACTTTCGCCCTCGCGAGGCTGGAGAACCGTTCACTGAAGATATGCGATATAGGGATTCTGATGGAAGATCGCGGGTCTTGCTTGGAGGTGAGCTGCATTTGGTGTGTGCTGCCGGGTTGACTAGCAGAGATGCAGACAGCTCAAGCAGAAGCAAGCACAAACTTCAATGTTCCTGTTCAACTTGCACAGTGCAGCAAGCTTGGGCCTGCGGAATCTAAGTGATAACGGAACAACCAGCCAGCAACACACAATCAGCAAGCACAAGCTTCAGTCAGAAAACCATAACAACAAGAACACGGACAGTGATAAACACTTGAATACTGACAAGAATGATAGTGGAGTATAGGAATCATACGAATAACAAAGATAAGAGTAATGCCAAGTAAGCAGTGCACCGCCCTCCTTCCATGTCATGGTGGGCACTGCGACGCTCCGCAGCCGGACAGCGCGAGCAAGGGCAGGCGAAGGCCCTCGCAAAGCCCGACCCCCAGTGATCACGAAAGGCTGTCGAAGCCGCACAGTGCTTGTGAAAACAAGATGACAGGTTGGAAAGGTGGACAAAGTAGAGGGCGTCGTTGGGGCCATACCGCTAGCTTTGTTGGCACAGAGGGTTGCATTCGCTATTTATTCCTGGCTGAAGGTCCTCCTCACAGTGTTCCTTACTCTGGCCTTGGCAGCAGTGGTTGTCAGCACTTTCCTCGCCAAGGAGGAAAGACCTGAATGAGCTTGAAAACGCAACGTTTGCATTTGTACCATGGCAGGGGTCGCTGGAGAAAATTCTGGCCTCGCCTACCTGGGGATTTCAGGAAAAGTGTGGAGCTGAGCGGACGCAGAACAATGCAGATGCCTTGCAGGCTTGCCGGCTTTCCAGCGACCTGCTTTAAAACCAACAGGTCACCTGCAACGCTCGATGCGAGCCTCGCTGGGGGCTGAGCGACTGGCTGCCAAGATGACATGCTATTGTGTTTTTTTGCACCTAGGTCAAAATCAATGCGACACAGTGAGCTCTGCTTTAGATACTTGGGCTTGTTTCTGTCCGCCACACTAACCCCATTTAACCCCAATGAATGGGAAGTTCCGATGGCAAGACGCCAACAGGTTCTTCCCCTCTGGATGCTGTTCTTGACACTAAAAATAGGAGCAGAGCCAGCATACGAAAAGGCCATTACAAAGGAGCCTGGCACTTTGTTCTGAAGACCCTGCGGTCTTGGTCATTACAAGCACAAGTTGCGCAAGCTAGCTGTTTTTGAGCTGTCCAGGTGGAGGCAGCCAGATGCTGAAATCTACCAGCAAAAAGGCCCACAGCTAGTCAGCACTGCTGGAAAGCTCAGACTCGCAGCTCGCAGCTTCAGGCGATCACTTCTCAGGCTCCGATGCCTGCGAATTATGCGAGGGGCCCTTCAAAAACGCAGGGAAGCACCGTGTTTCCTCCAGAGCAGCTCAGGTCCGGAGGATTCGCCGGAAAGCGCAGATGTCAAGAACCGCTAACGATTACAGGCAGGGCCTCGTGGCACTGCATAGATGGAAAGACATGGTGGTAACCGGAACAAGATTTCTGGAACAGTAACAGGATTCCTGGAATAAGTGTAAGGTCACAACCTTGCCACGATGGTGGCTGTGAAGTGGTCTTGTTGCAGGATACAGCCACGACAAGCATGACCAGCATTTCAAAGCCGTCCCTCCCCACCAACCCCGCTTAGGAATCTCACTTTTGGTGGGGCTGTGCAACCTGCGGGGGAGTCACCGTTTTAGAGCTTTCCAGCCCCAAAAGCTTTAAAATGAAGACTCCCCCCCACCAACCCCCCTTCAAAATCACGTTTTTGGTGAAGCTCACAAGCAGCGAGCAGTTACAACAACTTGCATTTCATATCTGACGCGCTTGTGGAGGTTCGTGCGTTCCTTTTTGTGGTTCCTCTTTCTTCTTGGTTACGGTTACACGGTCACACACCAACCTCTCCGGTAGATGTGTGGTGAAGTAGCAGGAGACGAGCCCAATCATGATGGGCCTATCAGTCCAGTGGAAGGGATGCATAGAGCTGCCAGGCAGCAGATTGCGGACCTGAAGATGTTGGCAGACTCTGCTGCTGGGACTTGCGCTGGAGCCACATGGAACTGTCAGCGGCAGAATCGACCCAACAGGCTAGCCGCTCTGGCAACGTCTACCAGGCTTTGCAGGCTCCTCGTCAAACGCAATCATGTCCTGTTCCCCATGCAAATCATCTTTGCAGGCCTATCACAAAATGGGCGTTGTCTTCGACAATCAAGCCATGTATCCCGAGGCGAGGCGTGTCTGAATCTCTTGTTGGCTTTGCAATGTCAAAGTGTGCACTACACACATGATTGTCATCAGGCCATCCAGAAGTACAAGCAGTTTCTGGCCTTGTGCATCACCTCAAAGAACACGCAGGGAGAGGCAGGTGTCCATGGGCAAAGCTTTCTCCATGAGCAAGTCTCGAGTTTCCCCCTGTTGCTCGCTCACCTTGCTCCGCGCTGTCGAACAAGATCCTTGCTCTCAGTAAATCGTCAGCATCCAGCTGTATGCGGCATCGCGCGCCAACACAGGATCCATGTCACATCTCCGGCAAACAACGACTATGACATCTACGCAGGTTGACATGATAAGACGAGACAAAGTCAGGCGCTTGAGCGGCGTGTGTGTGCGCGAAAGCTACTATGCAAGGCAGTGGAAAGGGGGATGTCGAAACGTAAGGACACTTTGCCCTTGGCCTTGCTAAATAACGGCTGGGATTGAAGATGGCAGGGGTTGCCTCAGACATGCTGCATTCGATGCTGTTCAAAGGGTAGGTTCAACGCCTCAAAGGAAGTCTCCAACAAATGGCTGCCAGTTGCTGTCTGAAACGAGCGGTCAGGTTCGTAACGGCATAATTCGACTTGTAGCCTTGAAGACCGAGAATGTCATCACGGAAAGCAAGAAGATAGCTTGCAATCAAGAGGATGAAATCAAATTGGAAGCGGATATGTTGGAGTTGGAGGAGGTGGGCAAGATCTCTAAAAGCAAGTAGCTGACAAGAAGCTCAAGCTGGCTGCTGAAGCAGCAATGCTGGAGACGAAGCAGAAGGAGCAGATGCAGATATCTCTACAGCAGAACCCTGCCAGACAGCACCCAGCATTTTTCACGGAACTGGGCTGGATCTAGAGCTCGGGCTGGGCTTTGAAGCAAAAGCATGTTGTATTGGGCAGCTGAGAGGGGGCTTGGATAGGTAGGATGTTGGCCGAGTCAACCGTAAGGTCCCCGAGTCGAAAACGGATTAGCTCAGAACAGAGCAGGGGCAAGTCAGAAATGGACGAGGGCCGCAGTCAAACAAGAGTCGGCAAGACAGAACAAACCAAGGCGGGGAACAGGCTCAGGGCTGCAGGACGAATTGTTCAAGAGGGTTCAGAGTTTGGGGTTTCTGACTCGCCCCCTGTTCATTCTCGTCTCACCTCCCTTCCTGTTCTTGACTCATCCCCACGTTCCTTCTGACTAAGCCTCCTGCCTGTTCCTAACTCGCCACCCTCTTGTTCCCGACCTGTGCGCCTGAATCGCCTCTCATCCCAGGTGGAAACGTACCGGGCAAGAGTTCAGATGAGTTCAGAGTGCTGTTCTCAGCCCCGAAGATGCTAAAGCCTGGAGGCGCTGGCCTACAACTGCTTGGGAATCGACTGCTTCAAGATGGGCCAGATCCTCATTCTGGTCAGGATCGATGCACAAGTTGGTAGCATGTGGTAGGACTCTACTATGCGCGATCGGGCACGCTGACTCGCGGCTCAGTTTGCTCTAGCAGGGCAACAGCATATTGATTGAAAGCCGCATCACGTGCGTCAGTACCTTCAGCAAGATGCTTCAGAGCGCATAGGTAGATGAAAAGGATTCGTAAACACTACTTGGATCGCCCCCGAGCACCTTGCATGCATAGTTCAGCCATGGCCTACCGCGTCAACGGACTGCCACCGTTCCAGGTCTCTTTCAGTATCACCTTTCCCGAGGGGTATGTGGGCAAGAACAAGCTGGACACCAGGTTCCAGTTGGACGCGGAAGGGGCTAAGTCGCAAGTCGGAGTCCTTGAGCACTTAGCAAAGACAGCCGAGAAGTTTGAGACGGCCCGCAGCCATCCAGTGACTGAGGAGTGTGTGCCTCTGCACACTAAGCTTGAGGCACTTCGGGTCATAGCATCCACTGGACGGCCCTGCGATGAGAAGCCCTTCATGCATAAGCAGCAGTCTCGTGACCTTGACGAAACCACGGTGTGCTCTGACATGGAAGACCTCGTCACTGCCACGTCCTCGTTGAAGACAATCGGCAGCATGCAGTGCGGAAGCGAGATGTCAGAGTTTCAGGTGGACTTGGACGATGATGCGCTACCAGACGTGCCTATCTGCGCTGGGGAGGTCCTTGCAACTCCGGCTCATTGTGCTAGGGATGCCTATGCCAGCACCCGGGAGAAGCCGATCATCATTAGGTCCATCGCCGAGTTGGATGAGCCAACGATCTGGTCCTGAGTCTGAGAATGACTAAGTGCGCTGAGCGCCTTGGGATGTTGCAATCTTTTCCTCCTCAATCCACCTCTTTGGGTGGAAGGTGAAAGTTGCCCAAATATGGGCTACAACATTTCCACGCTTTTGATCCTAATGATGAGTGGTTTGATTCCGGTCATTAGGAATTCAAGATATTGAAGTGGGCTGGCATGGCCGGTGCAGGCAAGAGAAGCACCAACAGAAGCGGACATTGGGGAGACAGCACCAGGACACTGCAACAAAACATTGTAGGCAAGAACTCAAAGCGACGAGGTGTTGTAACAGCAAGGGACACTCACAGGTTGGAGCACTTCAAGCCTTTGCTGCCGCTGTGCCAATGTAATTCAAGGCAGTTCTCGCAGCAGAAGCCAAGTCGCTGCCACAAACTGAATCTGCTCAAATTTTCGGAGAATTTCCAAGTAGCTAATCTTTCAGAGCTGTTTCTATCAGCTCTGAGCGCATTCTGGTGGCCGCCGCTCTGATAACCTGTGGTGATGGGGGCGGATGGTACGTAACTGGAGTGAAAAAAGACTCTGGTCATGGAACACAAAGTTTCCATTTTTTGATGTTTCTTGCCTTTGGCAGAGCTGTCTGGAGCCGCGCATTTTTATTGGAAGGTTCAGTCGCATCTTTCGATTGTCATGAGCTCTAGAGAGCAACGCCTGACGGAATTCCTCATTCCTTGTTCCAATCACCAAAGCTGTTGAGCATCAGCCTTGATTTGGCATGGCAGATGTCTAACAGCACCCCGGGCCTTGCAGAGTCAAGCCTCTCAACAAAACCTCCTGCCACGGAATAGGGCTGAAAGCAGATTCTGGAGACTACTTTGAGGATACATCTAATTCAGACGTTCTGTGTATTCGAACGCCCACATTAAAGGGATCTCTTCATGTGAGCGAGTTAGTTTGGGGGAGTAATTTGGCTTACACATCCGACGGCTCCGCTTGCCCTGAACAAAGGGCCTGTTCAGAGCTTATTGCTATTTGTCTTGCCTTGTTCATGTGCGGCGGGTGGCATTTATTTGGCAAAGGATCTCTGACTCCTCCTCTTTTGTTTCCCTGGAATTGATGGTTGGCTCAGCACAAGCCGGCACTGCCCCAGACATACTGGTGGAGCTGGTAACTGACATAGATGGCAAGCGCTGCAACGCAGCCTGCTTGCCGCTTCTGGTGCACGCAGCTGCTGTGTCTTTGGCCGACGGTCACTTGCGGTGGGCGGGTGAGGCTGCCTAGCTCCTAGCACCAGTAAAAACAAACATAGAAAAGACCTGCAAGCACTACATTGGCTGTGGGATTGAATTCTGGGTATAGGGGCTGGGCAAACTTGCACGTCAGGGGGATATCTCTGCAAGCAGAATGTCTCAGATGGTATGAAAAAGTGTGCTTGCAAGATGCTGATGTCATAGCATTCAAAGCCCAGTCTGAACTCTGTCAAGACTTGTTTCTTTTTTTCCAAAATACCAAGGGCAGTACGATGAAGCCATTCAGTACCACAACAAGCACCTTGAACTGGCAGTTGCAATCTCAGATCATCAGACAGATGCTGCCGTGTGTTGTTCGCAAGCAAGCTGGATACCATCCTCCGTCGTTGAGGATGGCACTGGTCGGCTGATAGCTCACACAAACCTGGGCATTGTCTTCCAGGCACGAAGACATCCGAAGGGTTTCGTTTGACCATGCCGGCCATTTTTCTGAGCTCAGGCCATGGGCTTGTCAGAGCATGCAGCCATCCATCACCAACATGCGATTGAGTACGCCAATCGCATGGGCTCCAAGGATGCTCGGCATCCTTGATTTATGCGTACTGCACAAGTCTGTTGAAGAGAAACTTATTCAGGAGTACCCGTATCTGACATATCAACAGTTGGGTCGGCACAGGATGCGCAATGCTTTACGGTCACAGCCTCATTGCCTAATGCTGAATCGGCACAGACCATGCATCATCTGAAGTTGCCCAGCACAGGAAGCTACAAGTCCGGGCTGCAATCCAAGGTCGGCAACCTTGGCATTGCATCAGCAGCTCAGGGTGACCTGCAGACGAGTCGAATTTGCCTGCAGTGCGCCAATCCCACCTTTGCAGCAGATGCATTCCTTAGCTGTGTGATTCGAAGATTGTGCTGGACTCGCAGGTATCATCTTAGCTCGGCACAGCGCCAGAAAGCAGCTGCTGCTGACAACAAGCACGGACTCCTAGATCATCTCCTTCAGATGCGTTTAAGCACAGGTCAAGTCAGCATCTCTTTTTTTAGCAGTGACCGCAAGCTCGACCCCTGCATCACCAATTGTCGCATGCATGTCTGCGCAGAATGCTGTATATGGTCGCGCCCCGGCGGGCTCCCCCCCCCCC